TGATCCAAAACATGAGGGAACCATTCTTGTCGCTCTGCGGATGCAAAACAACAACAACAAAAAACCCTCAAAAGATTTGGAGTTAAACATTTGCTCTTGGTTACTGATGCTGTAGTGCACATATGTCAAACTCAAGGCCCGGGGGCCATATCCGGCCCGCCAGGTCAATTCATGTGGCCCGCGAAAGCAAATCATGTGTGTCAACTTGCTAAGATCTGGACCAAAATGTCAAATTATCATGTGTAATAAATAACATTGAAATTTTGCAATCATTTTGTTACCTTGTTGACCCTCACTTGAACAATAATTGAACAAACTATTTTAATCGATTTGACCGATTTCAAAACTAGTACTCTATTAATTTGTTGTGTACAAGTAATAATTCTGCAGTCATCACGGCCCTCCGAGGGAAGATGTAACTCCAAATTGGCCCGCAACTAAAATGAGTTTGACACCCCTGCTGTAGTGGTACACTACACGCCCAGCGTGGGATCGGTTCCTACTCGGTGACAGTGTGAATGGTTGTTTGTCTGTATATGTGCCTGGGAAATGACTGGCGACCAGTTCAGGGTGTAGTCCACCTTCTGCCCAAAGTCAGGTGGGACTGGCTGTCAGTTTTCTACTACTTACTTTTTCTCTGATTCTCAGTAAATTAAATTGTGACCCAGGACCCCTTCCCAACACTTTATCAGTATCCTTTAACCAATGCGTGCCTGAGGATTCAATCGGTGAGTTACTGGCATGTTAAAGGCACACGCTCACGCGCACGTGACACATGTAACAAGCGTGTTCCCCCGAAACAAAGAATGGCATCAAGACCGTTCCTTTTACATCCGCCACGAAAGAGGACACCGGAGTGTGAAAGCCGTCAGCAGGAGCGCGCATGCTTCGCCTATAAATACCCTGTAGAACCGAATGTGTGTGGACTTTGCTTGGTCACAGATTGGGTTCTAGGGGAGTCTATGGGCGGCGACTAACCATCCATCACGCGCGCGGGAAACCCGAAGAGCTTCACAAGTGCTTCTTTGTGTTCTCATTTTGGGTGGCTTCGCTTTCTGCTCAGTGAGAAGATCCAATGGCACGATAAATTGTCAAGTCAAACCTTTCACTCGCCGCTCCACCAATCAGTCGAGCACATCAGGAAAGTAAATAATCAGTTCTCAGGAGCGTAAGGTTCATTGAGGTCCCTTTATGCTCTAACATTGATCGAGGCGTCTATACGCAGCAAACGTTGCAGGAACGGAAAATGTGAATTCCCGTCTTTTCACATCTTAAGTTATGTGCCGGATAGTGCAACTATTCCAAAATTTTGGTGCTTTTTCTATAACACCCGAAGATGCTACAAGAATATTTGAGTTGGCATTCGCAACATGACTTGAATGGAGGAGTCCTATTTCCACATAAGTAGTACAGTGAAACCTCAAGCTATGAACTTGATGACCTTGTTTGTCACTTGTGAAACGTTTATAAATCAAAGTAATATTTTCCATTGAAATGAATGGAAATGCAATTAATTCGTTCCAGCACCAACATTTTTTTTAATCCAGTGTGTGATAAAAAAAAATATATGGAATACAATTTTGAAATGATAATTAAGCATTGACGTTACCAGATGAGGGGGAACAGGGAAGAGAACTACAGTTCCTAACTGAAAAGTCTTCCATAATAACAGGGAGAAAACTGATTTTAGCAGCAGCTACCCTGTCTTCCTTCGAACATTATTGATCACTACTGTACGGTTGTTTTTCTTTGTTTTTGTTTCTTGTTCACATTTGAGGAAAATGTGTGTTCAGACTGGCTCGTTATGGCGGATTAATGACATTCCAACGCGATGGATACATGGGTGTATGAAGGTCCTTTTTGTATTCTGCAAGCACAAATGAGCCTTTTAGATACTTTACGCGACCAGCGAGAGCAAAAACACTTTGGTATAATTTCACGTAGAAGTTGTCAAAGCGGTCTAAATAATCACTTACATAAATTACTAAAATGTTGTAATTTGCATTCCAGGCCTGTAGTTGGCGATGTCATTTTTTAAGAAACATGACAGGGATTCGCACCAACTATTTGTCCGAACCATTTTTTAAAAACAAACGCTATTGTGGAATAACTAATGAAAACCAGTTTCATTGTTCACTTAGGAGAGTGAAGACATCTGAAAATTTATATTTTCATTCCCGTTTAAACACTGACAAATATTTCAGTCACAGCATGTGACCGATTCAAACCATTCCAACTTCAAAGCTCCTTCAGATCATCTCGGGAACCATTTCTCACATTCTCCAAATTCCTCACTTTTCGTGGCCAAATACCCAAATTTGAGATATTGTACACATTTACCTCCTCATTTCTTGACCGTTTCAAACCGTTCCATCTTTAAAACTTTGCTCACATTAAGGCCATGTTTGTGGATTGTTACCTCTGAGTTTAACCTTGATTTATCAATTTAGGTAAAACCCTTAACAACAGATTTTCATTTGCAATGTCAATCTGTCTGCAGAAAGCAGATTATTATTCTTGATGACATATTACATGACCAAACTTCCAACATTTTCACAACCCCTCCCCCCAAAAAATCTCCTCTTCCTAGCACCTTTCTTGACCCAAGCATCCGAACCATTCTAACTCTCCTTTAGTCACTTAACCCTGCAGCATTTCAATTCATATATATATATAT